AACATTTTCATGTTGAATTAATGTTTTACATCACTTCGTCAACGATTGGGAGTGCGGGGGAGGGAATCGAGTGGGAAATGTTTTATTCGCTGCCAAAGGCATTGCCAAAATCATTAATCACATGTTAGGATGTGAGCGATAATAATCAAATGTGTTCGTTTTTTTATTGGCTAGGGGCAAAATTTAACATAAAAAAGGAAATTGCAGAACATTAGCTTTAAACAACAGTATCAAATAATTGGGACAATTAAAATTGGATATCCTGAATGAAAAGTGTCATTTTAATCAAAGGTTTTAAATGTCAGGTTGAATGGAGGTTTGGTGAGGATTGTGCAGCTGAAATATTTTTTTTTATAATTTCATAAAAAAATTTCTAAAACATACAGGATGAGATAAAAACTGCAACAAAGTCAAACGCTATAACTTTTACATTTTTTTTTTAAATTTTATTGAATGAAATCAAAAAATGTCGGAAATAACATCACATTTTAGAATCCGTTTAGATTTGTTCGAATCGGTCACCTTTGGCACGAATTATGGCCTTCAAATGGCCAATGAAACCATCACACGCTGCACGAATGTTGCTCTGCGATATTTCGTCCCATTCACGGCGAAGCGCTTGCTTGAGGTGATCAACACTTTGGTATTTTTTAGTGCCGGCCTTGCTTTCCAAAATACTCCGGACACAATAGTCCAACGGATTGGTATCCGGAAATTTTGGTGGCCATTGTGCGCTGGAATTGGAGTGAGGAACCTCGTTTTGTAACCACTCACGGGTGGCGCGTGCTGAGTGCGATGGTGCTGAGTGCTGTTGGAATGTCTAAGGTGTGCGGCCAAAATGTTTGCCTGCCCAAGGCTTTAATACACCCGCCATAATATTTTCGTGATAATATTCGGCATTTTTTCTGATGTTAAATACGAGCGGAGAACGACCTGTCAGCTCTTATGGTGGCCCACACCATCACCATGGTCGGCGGTTGAGTTCTGGTGGCCAACCGAAGGTGCACATTTTCAGCTGACCTCTTTGACAAGTAAACACGATCTTTTGGTTTGTTTGCAAACTGCTGGACAACGAATGTTTTCTCTTCGGAGAAAACCAAATTCGGCCTCTCACCACTTACGGCCAAGCGAAGCAACTCTTTAGCTCTTTTGACTCTATTTTCTTTCTGTTGCAGTGTAAGTTCTTGCACTTTTTGGCATTTCAATGGCTTTACCCCGAGCTCAGTTTTCAATATTTGCCGAATGGAAAATTGCGATATGTTCAGCTTACGAGCCAGTTTTCGGCCACTGCGATGCGGGTTTCGATCAAGTCGCTTCTTTATTTTCGAACCAATTTTGTTGATGTTACTGTTTTCTTCCGTCCACTTCCTTGACATCGGGCTTCGCTACCAGTATCACGGTAACGAGCGATGATACGAGACACAAAAGAGTTATTCACATTTAAATGTTGGAGTGCTCTAACGATAGCCACTTGTGGTTTTCCAGCCAAATATAAAGAAATCACACTATCACGCTTGAATTCCATCACGAATAACCTTTTTTCTGGAAAATTCTCACTAAAATGCTTTTGTACGGTTGTACACAATATGATGAGCTGTCACTGGAATAATTTTAACAGTTGTCGGTTTAGATTGGCTAAGAAATGACAACAGTAGGAAGTTGGTTGCAGTTTTTTCGTCTCACCCTGTATATTATTATCTTTCATAGCTTCATGAAAAAGACTGGAAGAAAACTCGGAGGTTTTTAATTCAAATTTATTAACAAATTGGTAAAAGTGTAATTTTCCAAAATTTATTTTGAAACGGAATATACGAATATAAATCTCTAAAGGATCTTTCAAAGAGTTCGGAATTTCTGATTGCAAATTGAACATAAATTTATTTTCTATAATCTCGCTTTTTTTAGTTATGGCGTTTAAATCGTCCCTCATTTTAACATAACCTTCCAAGTTATAATCCAAAAATTTCCTTGAATTTAATACTGCCCTTAAAGACAATTTCAACTTTTAATCCATTGTTTTAGTATCTCCATTGTTCCTACCTTTAAGCATTCTCACCTTACACTTTAAATAGTCGACGTACTTCATTAGGGACATACATTTATTCAGCTACTGCTGCTTGACCTACTTCCCTGTTCCTGACATTTATCCGCTTTACAAAACGCAGCGAGATAAGTTTGAGAAATTCCATTCATACATTGTTTTATAAAATGACACTTAGCAGCATTGTTGTTGTTGCTGCAGCCGACAATGTTTTTTTTTTTAAGTAAATAGCCACAGTGTTTATTTGTTTTAATTAAATTGTTTTAAAAACAGAACAGAGCCTCGCCGCCATTCATTCTGTCATTGAAAATTATGTAACAACATCATGAATGGGAATAAATTCAATTGTTGTAAATTGTTTGAAGGGGACTTGTAAGCGTTTGAAGAAAACCTGTACTTGGAGCTTAAAGTACTTAAAACAACTGGAAAGGCATAATGTTTGTGACGTATCGAATGACGAATGTTAATGATTTGATCAACCTGTATATTTTTATACCCTACACCACATAATGGTAAGGGCATTATGTCTTTGCGCATTTGTTTGTAACATGGAGAAGGAAGCGAGATAGTTTCTTTTGAGGATCATCATAGGATCACTTTCTGTGTCGATTTATGCATGTCAGTCCGCCTATCCGTCTTTATGTCCATATTCTTGTGAACAAAACAAAACAAAACAAAACATTCATTATCCGATTGAGATGAAATTTTGCAAACAAATATTCAAATTGGTGAGAATCGGTTAAAATTTAGATATAGCTCCCATATAAAGGGTAAGATAAAAAAACTGCAACAAAGTCAAATGTCATAATTTTTACATTTCTTTTTTAAATTTTATTGAATGAAAGCAAAAAATGACGGAAATAGTATCAAATTTTTAGAATAAGATTAGATTTGTTCGAATTGGTCACCTGTGGCACGAATTATGACCTTCAGACGGCCAATGAAACCATCACACGCTGTCCGAATGTTGCTCTGCGGAATTTTGGCCCATTCCCGGCGAAGCGCTTGCTTGCGGTGATCGACACTTTGGTATTTTTTAGTGACAACCTTGCATTCCAAAATACTCCAGACACAATAATACAATGGATTGGTATCCGGAGATTTTGGTGGACATTGTGCGCTGGAAATGAAGCGAGGAACCTCATTTTGTAACCATTCTTGGGTAATACACCCTGCAGAATGCAGTTGTTATGGCGGCCCACACCATCACCATGGCCGGCGCTTGAGTTCTGGTGGCCAACGGAAGGTGCACATTTTCAGCTGACCTCTTTGGGAAGTAAACACGATCATTTTTTTGTTCACTGCTAGGCAACGAATGTTTCCTCATCGGAGAAAACCAAATTCGAAAGTTCACCACTTTCGGCAAAGCGAAGCAACTCTTTAGCTATTTTGAGTCCATTGTATTTCTGTTGCGGGGTAAGTTCTTGCACTTTTTGGAATTTCAATGGCTTTACCGCGATCTATTTTTTTATTATTTGCCGAATGGAATATTGCGATATGTTCAGCTCACGAGCAATTTTTCGGAAACTGCGACGAGGGTTTCGATCAAGTCTCTTCCTTACTTTTCGAACCATTTCTGCTAATGTTGCTGTTTTCTTCCGTTCACTTCTTTGACGTCGGGCTACGCTACCAGATTTAACGATAGCCACTTGTGGTTTTCCAGCCGAAAATATTTTGGAGAGTGTATTAAAACCTTGTGGGGTCTTAAATATATATTTCGAGGTGTTATAAACGGAATTACAAAGTAACAAGTAAAAAAGCAGAAAGTTCGGCCGGGCCGAACTTTGAATATCCTCCACCATTTAGACCAAATTTAAAAATTTTCGAAAAAGATAAATTTCGCCAAAAATTCCGTTAACATTTTAAAAACATCGTTATATTAGGGCCTGTACGACGTGCACATAGGCAGTGTTTGTCACAAGCCATTACCATATTCAAATTCGAAACCATTATATGGGGCTATACGAAGACTTTTTTCTGTCACAGACTGTAGAATCCATTTCGAACTTCAAACACCAAATTTGAAACGTTTCCGATGAATAATGTCGCTAAAATCATCAAAATACCGAATAGAGAGAGGCACCGTTATATGGGGGCTATACGAAGACGTGGACTTGCACAGACAATTTTCTGTCTCAGGCTGTAGTATCCATTTCGAACTTCAAATGCCAAGTTTGAAACAATTCCGGCGAATGATGTCGCTAAAATCATCAAAATACCGAATATCGGGAGGTACTGTTATATGGGGGCTATATGAAAACGTGGACCTACATGGGCCATTTACAAACTTAACCTGACTACCGGCAAAATAAACATGTGTGGAAAATTTTAACCTTCTATCTCAATTCGTTCGATTACAACAGACAGGCAGACGGACATGGCTAAATCGTCTTAGAATTTTTCGCTGATAAAGAATATATATACTTTGTTGGGTCTAAGAACATTATTTCGATGAGTTACAAACGCAATGACAAAATGAATATACCCTCCATAGTATGATGGAGGGTATAAAAATGTTCCCTCCATACTATGGTGGAGGGTATAATAAATATGTTATATACTTTTGACTATATATTTTAATTGACTTTAACATAAGGAGTTATAATGTATGACAGATTTATTTTAATCGATGTTATATGTTGCCGCATTTTTCTCTAAATCTCTAGAATTAGTGGTGAGACATCATTTCCATTTTTATAAGAGTCTACCTGTTTCTATGACCCAAATCCCAACCCCATGTGACCCCTTTCTTTTTTGAGCAAATAATTTGAAATATTTAAACACCGCTTGAATATAATGAAATGTTTTTTTAATGTGAAATGCAGCGAAACGGTATCAAAAGAATTTCAGAAATATAAAACGGCGACAGCAACAGCTAGAATAAACAGACAGACGGACATACAATTTATTTTATCTCTCGTTCTCTTTTTGTCTCAATGAAATATTCTGTCATTTGCAGATATCCTGGGAGTCAACAACTTTGGGCTTTTGGTACACCGAACTACTGGAGCGTAATGCACAATTTCGTACCTGGATATCAACGGATCGTCCAAAGGTAAGTTATGCGCTGCTATGTGGCTGTCCACTTAAACGATGGAATTTAAGTTAAAAGCATCGGACGAACACATACAAACACACCCACTCATCAACTATGGCAAACCATGGATGTATTTTTTTGTAGTTCTAAACTAAATAAAACGAAGCAAATGACACAAATCCATGTAAACTGAAATAGAAATCCGTGGTATTGTTTCGCCCGGTGAGTGTGTGTGTGAGAGTAAATGTTTTTATTAAATAAAATCGTAATTACATTTAAATGCTTTCCATCATTCCGTTGCGAGTAACATATTTATACGGGTTCCATGTTTTATTTCTATTTTTGCACTCGTTCACGAAAGTTCTCAACACATGGTTTTTGCTTTTTCATTTTTAATTTATCAAACTAAGCAAAGTAACGTGACATCAAATATCTTTAATCTGTGTCACTTTTATGACATCTCCTTTCTACTTTCAATTTCTGTTTGAATTTCTTCATGCCTGACTCGTCACAATGCATCGTTGCGTTGCGCGGAAAACAGGTCTTTTGGATGACAGGCTTCTTCAATCCTCAAGGATTTCTCACGGCAATGCGTCAGGTGAGTATGACATGCAACATGTTGCAAATGATTTCTTGTTTGATATATTTAGTTATGTTATTAATCAAATGGTGTGAATGTATGGGTTTTTATGAAATTTTGAAAGATCAAAGATTTCTGGTATTGTAAGAATGATTTAAGATCTATGATTATGATATTCTCCATGATGGAGTAGGCTTATGCGATGCATGCTCACGCGCTAGCTTTTAATATGCCAGCAACAAATGAAATTTTAATCTTCCACCTCACAGAAGTCTTATCTTAATTAATTTCTATTGGAAAAAAATTCCTCCGAAGGATTGAAAATAACGCTATACAATTTAGAGGCGATATAATATTGAAGTCCTAAAGACAATAATATATATGTTAGAGAGTATTTTGAAAGAATTTACTCTTTGGGCTGAGAGTCCAAAATGTCGACCCCGAACCCATTCAGAATTTTGTAAAATAATAACAGCTATTGATAGATCCATGTTCAGAACTTTTTCAAAGGCAGTTTTGTTAATTGTAGAATTGTAGTAGTTGCCGATGATATATTACAAAATTAAGATCTTATCGAAAAGTTGGTATGAGAAGAAATGCTAGTCTCCTTTATTGCATAAATTAAAAAAAAAACAAGTAAAAAAGCAGTAAGTTCGACCGGGCCGAACTTTGAATACCCTCCACCATTTGGAACGAATTAGAAAATTTTCAAAAACATAAAATCCATTGAAAATTCTGTTACATAATATCGGAAAGTGCCGATGTATGGGGGGATATACGATATTGTGGATCTATATAGACAAATCCTCTTCAGTGCTCACAAAGAACCCCTTGTGTGGAATTTCAGACAATTCCATTGAAAAATGTGGCTGAAATCATCAAAATACCGAATATCGGAGGGTACCGTTATATGGGGGATATACGATATCGTGGACCTATATAGAAAATTCTCTTTCAGGGAATGAAATACTCATAAGGGACTCCATTTGTGGAATTTCAAACAATTCAATTGAAAAATATGGCTAAAATTATCAAAATACCGAATATTGGGGGAACCGTAAAATGGGGGCTATACGATATCGTTAACCTATATAGAGAACTCTATCTCAGGGGGTAAAGTGCTCACAAAGAACCCCTTGTGCGGAATTTCAGACAATTCCATTGAAAAATGTGGCTGAAATCATCAAAATACCGAATATCGGGGGTACCGTTATATGGTGGCTATACGATATCGTGGACCGATATAGCCCATCGTCGAACTAGACCTGCCTGCAGACAAAAGAGAGATCTATGCAAAATTTTAGCTTTCTATCTTATTTCCTTTAGACTGTAGCTTGATTACAACAGACGGATAGACAGGGTTAAATCGTCTTAGAATTTTACGCCGATAAAATTATAATTCGATTTAGCGATGTCCATCTGTCAGTTGAAATCACGATAGAGATAGATGAAATGTAGCACAAAGCTTTATATTATGGCTGATTGGTATTGAAAATTGGCTATATTGGTCCACGTTTAGATATAGCCGCATATAACGGCATTTTGAAGGTTTCTGTCACAATGTCCAACCAAATCAGCTGAAACTTGACTTTTGGGGTTCTTAAAAGGTCTGTTCTATTCTGCAGAAAAATATTCGCTACACAGGTCCACAGGTCCGATTTTCAGTATTTTGAAGGTTTCTGCCACAATTTCCAACCAACTCAGCTGAAACTTTACATTTGAGGTTAATGGTAGATTTGTTTCTCCTTAAAAAAATATAAGAAAAGGCCGAAAGTCGGACTATATTATACCTTACGCCACTATGCGTATTTAGTAGAGCTCCGTATTGGGAATTTTTGTGAAGTAGATCATATCAACTATGAACTTTATTTGAATGTGTATTATGTCTTTAGAGAAGTCACAATTTGGGAACTAAATACAAGTCTGAATCGATTTTTAAAAAAAAATTGACGTGGACTTTTGTACCTCTAGTACCAAATGACATTGTCTTATAGGGCATGATATGACTTCGCTAACAATTATCTTAAAATAAATTCATTGGAGCAATACAAAAACCGGACGAGTTCCACCATATGGAAAAATTTGGTCGAATATAAAAAAGTCTATCCAATTTGATATCAAATATCCTTGTTGTGCATATTGCGTATGTGACTTAAAACCCCTTTTCTGGGGTTAGCGTAGGTCCTCTCTCACTCGGTTTGTGTTCAAATATAAGCTCTGCGAAACACTGAACGCTTTAAAAAGTAACATCATGTAATTTTTAATTGATTCAGCATTTCGCATAAAGTAATATGTATTACATAATTCTGTCATTCCATGTTGTTTGTTGTAACTCATTCACTTACTACATTTAAATACCGTTACATGAAAACATTTATGTTATTATTTTTGTTATTTTTCCACATTAATCATCACTGATAGGCATAAATAAAGCGGATTGCAAAACCTTCCTGCAAACTGTATGAGGTCTTTAAAATCTCATTAAAATGAACAAATCACGTTTATGTTATTAATGAATTCACTACCCCAAAGTTAATTATGGTAATTGCTGTTGTTGCTGTGGCCATTTCATTTAATCTTAAAAATTATTTAATTATGTTGATACCCATCATTTATACAGTTGGATCTGTAGGCTTTATTTTGTGGGAAACTGCAATTGACATTTTGTTTGTGGATACTTTTTTAAGGATTTCTGTTTTTTTAATCTCCGCTCATTAATATTAAAACACAAAAAATGAGACATAATTACATATTAATTGCAGATATAATACCGGAATTGTGAGTAATTTTTCTTTTTTTTCAAATGTGGTGTATTCAAATTTTGGAATTCCTTGAGATTTATGGAATGTTGTTTTAAATACAACACGATTTTATAATATTTAGTATGATACGACTATGTACCAAGTAACTGCTAAACTGAACGAAGATACGGGTTAGTCTTTAAGATAGCTCTACACGGGAGGAAGATTAAAATAGGGGCTATATTATAACTGTGATCCATATTAGTCAGTTGTGATACCAATAAGTTCGGTGATCTATATCTATAAAAGAGAAAAATGTTTATATATTTGTTTGTTTGTAATTTATGGAATCGAAAACCTCTGAACAGATTTTTCTGAAAATTTCTAAGTATACTATAACATCGCCTGAAAGTAACATAGGCTATATAAATTTTTGAAATTCCACTTGGAACTGGAGATATAGCATCAGAATCGGAGTTACCTCCCAAAATTTTGGATTTTAAATTCACATATCTATTAATCGATTGCAGATACAGTCTTTAAATTTGGAATGCGTAACGGAATTTGAAAGAAAAATAAATTTGGCAAATTATATTGAAATCGGCTTAGATTTAGATATAGCTCCCATATATATTTTCGGTCGATTTCATATATTTGATGCGTTGAACACGCTGTGTACTCCATATTTCAATGAAATTTGGAATGTATGATGGAATTTGTCTAACAAATTTGTTTGCCAAATTATATTGAAATCAGTTCAGATTTGGATATAGCTCCCATATACATTTTCAGCCGATTTCAAGTATTTGATGCACCAAACACACTATGTATCTCTAATTCCAATGAAATTTAGAATGTGTAAGGGAATTTAAAACAAACGTACATTTGCCAAATTATATTGAAATCGGTTCAGGTTTGGATATAGTTCCCATATATATTTTCGACCTTTTTCCTTTATTTGATACAACAAATACGATTTGTATGTTTGACTTCAATGAAATTTGGAATGTGTGTCGGGATTTTGACCAGAAAATAAATTAGTCAAATTATATTTAAATCGGTTAAGACTTAATTATAGCTCCCATATGCATTTTCGGCCGATTTCACAATTTTGATGCCCCCAACGCGATATGTGTGTCCGATTCCAATGAAATTCAAAATGTGTTGCGGAATTCGGTACAGAAATAAATGTTGCAAATTATATTTAAATCGGTTGAGATTTAAATATTGCTCCCGTATATATTTTCGGCCGATTTCACACATTTGATACTCCAAACACGATATGTATGTCTAATTGCAATGTAATTTGGAATAAAGGACGGAATAGAGTACATAAAATAGTCGAATTATATTGAAATTCGTTCAAATTTGGATATAGGTTCCACATATATATTTCGGCCGATTTCATGTATTTAAACACAATGTGTATGTCCGATTAAAAAAAAATCAGAATGTGTGGCAGAAGTGGCGTAATTTAGTACAAAGAAAAATCCAAATTATATTGATATCGGCTGAGATTTGGATATAGCTCCTATAAATATTTTCGGCCGACTTCACATATTTGATGCAGCAAACACGATTCCAATGAAATTTGGAATAAGTGAATATCAGAATGTGTTATGGAATAAAAATTAATTTTCCAAATTATATTGAAATAGTTTGAGGTTTGGATATACCTCAAAAAAAAAAAAAAAAAAAACAAAAAAACAAAAATCCACCAATTTCAATGATATATGGAAGGTGTGACGAACTTTGGTCCAAAAATAAATTTTGTTAAATAATATTGAAATCGGTTTAGTTTTGGATATTATGTCCCACAACGCCTTTGCTATGGTATTAGGCTAACAGTAAAAAACTGCACAAAAATTTATTTGAGGATACGATCATTATGGGTAAGTATATTGCGTCCTCGAATTCTCTAATAGCAACAGAAATTCCAATCAACTTCAAAAGATTGCAGTTTCCTGCATGCTTGGCTTTTGCTATGAAATTAATAAATCCGAAGGACAAATTCTTCGTATATGCAGACTAAATTTGGCATGTTCCTGCTTTTCTCATGGACTTCTGTGTGTGGCATGTTTACGCGTTGTAGACCGATAGATTTGTTTGTTTGCGCATTCAAGTTTTACAATAAATACGTTTTTTATATTCTTGAATTTGTTTTATTTTTTTAACCACAAAATATATAAAATTTTGAATGCATATAAAATCAAAAGGGGTAGCGAAGCGCACCTGGTTCCGCTAGTAATCTATAAAATCAGAGCTGAGTGACTGACT